GCGTTAAGTGAAATCCAAAAATAACGGTACAGTTTTGTTATTTAAGACTAAAGCTTGGTGTTGAGGTGTTTCCTGCTGTCTGTTGCCACCGATGGCAAGGATGGACATTTTTTAAAACTTGAAAAAGTTGGGCTAACCTTTTCAAAATTTACGGATATCCCTCACCAAAACGCTATTAATATTGTTAGTGCTCCCTGGTGAAATTTGTTGTATACCCTCTTTATAACTTTTTGTATGAATAAAGGCAAGAAAAATGACTTCAGCGCAGAATTGACAGTAAACAGCAACATCCTCGAAAGGTAGCCCCATTAAAGTAGATGTATATGCGAGAACTCAGTCGTAATTGTTATCAATCATCACTTCTTGTTTCAGCTGGGATATTTTGCAAGACATGTTTGAAAGTGTACGAAGAGCCTGCGATACTGGCTCCGCTGAGAGTTGGCCGTCGATGAAAGCTTCGAAGATCCCGACGAAGGTTAGTGCTGATAGAAAACCTTTGAAAAATGATTCTGTCGTTTTACAGCCTTAAAAAATACGGGAAATGTTTCCTTTTGGCGGTCACGTACAAGCGTATAATATCGTGTCCCTTCTAATCTGCTCATGTAAGGCTTACGTATACTTATCATGTATTTCGGTCCTGGTAAACCGACTCCCTATTCATGATTTGTCTGGCTGGCGAGTGCCAATAACCAATGAACAAACTCTGTGGCATTTGCGGATTATTCACCTTGGCCGGCAAATACTATTCCCTGGGTAAATATTGATGGAGAACTCTTGTTCATTCATCGATAGTTTCAAGCCTAAAATGCCTTCGAGGCGATAGAATTTAAGTTATTTGGTTGGTCACGCAGTATTGTGTTTTCCGGGTGTCTATTAACAATCAAGTTACTTAAACTACGAAAGAAAGGCCTTGAGAGGGATTCGATTTCAAGTTTTCGATCTCTGGGTAGAATTTAAAACGTTTTGCAAATGACAAGACTATTCAGTTTGGAAATTCTTTGAGCTACTAGTTGATACCCACAAAGAAATAACTCATCTGACGAAACTTTTTTCCATGCCATGACTCAATAGAAGCATAATTTATGAGTGTTTTTAACCGCAACTATGTCAAGGCCGAATAAAAAGTGGATTTGCGGCAGCTATTTAAACAAAGAGTCTGAGTGATCTTGATTTCCGTTGAAATTCGGTGTCGACTAACCCTAACCCAACCCTAACCCTAAAACCGTTGTTGCTAGGATCTTGACTGGCGTGGATACTGCTAGACAACCAAGTTTATGGCGCGCTTTAATAGGTAATATTGAAGTTTTCTTGTGGTCTCTAACTTTAAAAATAAACCAGCGTCTTCGAAGCGTTTGATGGAGGAAAGATCAACGAAATGTTGAAAAAGACCTTTTAACCTTCGTACTCTACATAACTGACTGACGGCCGCAGAGTTGTATGATGACAAAGACTTCTATGCGAAAGATAAATCAAATAAGCTTCCGAAACTACTCTAGCAACAGGTACATACTCATTTCACTTGGACTTGAATTTATGATTCTTATTCAAGCCATGAAAATATCCTAAAGTATGTTTGATTTTATTAACTCTGTGTAAACGAATGGATCAATACCATAATCGAACCTTCACATGAACGAAAATAATTATTACTTTTTCATTCTTCGAACTATTCGTCTTTCGAAATAATTTTTTCCTTCTAAAATCAACAGCTAGATGATCACTTCATACGAACGTGTTTTTTTTTTCAGTTTAATACACAAATTGCTCAGTGTAGGTTACCGTTGTCTTGGGCAACGATTTCTCGGAAGATAAATTACACATATTACTTTAGTGTCTCCGTCGCTTAGGGAAAGCGCCTTATTTCCATATAGATTACCAGCTACCAGAATTTTCTATCTTTGACTGGTATTCAAATACCTTAGATTCGTAGCGAAAATATGAAAGATATATCTTTATTTTTTCGTTGCGCAAGTTTCATAATTTTCGCGCTTTAGTGCGCGCCACGTTGACTTTTCTCACATAATTTGCGCTCGATTATTTTCTCGTTGTTTTGTTGTATAATCATTACAAAGTGCCAACAAGTGTTAGGCAAACAATACGGCGAAAACACTCGGTGAAATATGATACTATTAACCTAGTAACCCCCTCTTCCTGCGACAAGTATCAGCTAAGCCTTTGTTTGTGTAACGATCAGGAACAAGCAATAAAAGCCGATACATATTATCGCCTTGGTTTTACAAATGTGCATTAAAACCGGCCGCTCATAATGCAAGTCAGCGAAGCGTTCTATATGGCAAATGGCATGACAGCGTGATTGAAACTTAAGAGGCTTGATGAAAGACAGCTTGTCGAAAGGTGATAGTCCGTCACCTCTTTCTTTGAAACACTTGTTTGTATGTTTACGCTTGGGCCCAGTAAAATACAGTAAAGTATCAGTTACTCTAAGAATCCGGCGCAGCGCACATGGTTGCAATTCAGCTTAAGCGGTTTTCGACCCGAAGGTTCTTTTCAAGTGTTATTGTCGCGTAAGAGGATTGACTATAAAAAACAATTAACATAAATCATCACGGCAAACCAGCCCTACAGCTTCGAGCACTTGAAAATTAACACAAAAAGCTGTGTAAAATTTCACTTTCTCAATGACTCTTACAAAGTACTAACACTACTGTCACACTATGCACATCGATCTAAAAACCTTTTAGTTGAATAGCCATGGCCATACATCGACCGCAGAATTTCAGTAATTCACAGACTGGATTGTTACATAAATAACATGATCCATGACTTGTTTCTATAAAGAAATGTTTGCTAAAATTTATTTTTATAATATATTATCCTGTGGTCCATGTGGCGGTTGATACAGTGTAAACGGACCGTTAGTTGACGAGTTTCCTGTTGAAGGCGACATCAACAATGGTGGTCGCTTTTTTAAAAGTGCAGGCTGTTCGTTTTTATTATTATCATTATTCCCTCTTTTCCCTGAGCGAAGAGAAATCAACCTTGTAAATCGTATAAAACCAAAAAAATAGTCTCTTAAAACTGGGGACTAAAAGCGTTTTTGAATTCTTTTTGTACCAGCTTCTGTGAGAAAAGCCCAAACATTTTAGTTATTGTCTTTGTGTCGGAGACGTATGCAAATATAACAAAACCGAGGTTCGAAAATACGAGATTTCTCAAATACTAAACTACTTTCTCATTTTAGTTTTTCTCAGAAGTACTTTGCGATCAATTCTTTATTGCCATTTGTCAATCAGACTTATTGAAAAATGCCCCTCAAACGCCTGTATCAGGTTTCGTGACTTGGGCAAACGATGTAGCCAAACGAAAATGTGAAATTAGCATATAAATGATTTTTTACGAAACTTTGCCGCTTTGTAATTTTCTATAACGGGAGAGGAACAAAAGCGAACGAATTTTTTACGACTTTGGCGGAAAGTGTTATCTCTTGGAAGTTAGTGTGGCGTGAGTTTGTTGGAGAATTTAATGTAGCCACGATTCAACAGCATGACGTTCATTCCCTTACATGACTTAAAACATAAATAACATGATCTTGCAGGTTCAAGACAAAGACCGACATCTGCAGGGTTCTTTGAATATACATAAAGAATTTGAATAACACGCAAGTGGCTCGTCAATTATTGCTTTCCGCGCGCCTTTTGTTGTAAAAGAAGTTTTCGCGCGAAACATCTTCAAAACGCGCGAAATCGCTGAAAGGTTTTTAAAAATGTTTACTGAAAAAATCACTTAAGTGAATGTTGGCAAACAATGGCATTGCGCCGAACTAAACACAATCTCAAATATTGGCGATCTTCAGTTCAATATTGATCCTTTTTTTGTTGAAAATATCCGGCTCACGCCTCGGTGTTAATTATATCGAGCAATTTTCTCGGCTTTCCAAATTCTAAGTACATGTAAACAAGAAACAATTATTGTGTGATCAAGCAGTAAACTTGCCCGAGCGCTTTCTTTGGTTCAAGTGTAATCGTAAAAAAGCAAGTTGGGCTTCATTTTTAGAGTCTGCGACAGATGTTTGTTTTCTAACCACGCGAATAACTAGAACATCAGGCCGGATTTCGTGGTTTTCTCCTTTTCGGAGAATTTGATTATCTTACAGTTTGCGCTTTTTCTTGCATTGAGTGTAGAAGTCATTAAGACATCTTGGTGACATAATGAAATAAGAGAAGCTATTTATTGAATAATTAATCAAATCTGTTGGACATTTAGACTGGAAGTTAGAGAGGCATACAGTACCTTCCAGCTCAAGTACCGTTCTTGTTTACAAACACTTCAAAATAAAGATACAACAGATAGCTGACCTCATGTAGATCTTAGGTTTGATCGCGCGCCACACGCGTACCTCGGTATTGCTCGTATAAACATTGCATTAGCCCTTCAACGGTCTAAAACAAACGATCGTTTTAAACTCCTATAAACATGTGGTAAAGGGCCTTTTGTGGGCGTTTTTATGGGGCCTTTTCAATTTACTGTGACCCGCGTTTAAAAGTTTCAGAGCTTTCTTTTATCTTGTTGTGATGCGCAAAGAAACTTCAAAGGGAACCGCCATCTAATCTGGTATAATTTAGAGCACAAACCATTCCCGTCTTTTAGTCACGATTCAGGAAGCATTTGTCGCTTTTCATTTTCCAAACCGATCACGCGTGGTCGATTCAAATTTCGAAGCTCCCGAGCTTTTTTTCTTGTATTTAGACGTCAAATCTAAAGATTTTCTTAACCGTTATGACCACTTGAAAACGGAGGGCCAAAGTCAGGGTAGACAAATGCGATGGAAGACGTTTTTGATCGAAACCTCACGCCCACTACTTTGGGCAAACAAAGGGAGCGAACACACAAAAGGCTCAGTGAAAATTGTGACAGAGCTCCGCCTGCCTGTTTATATACCATAGATTATTGGGTGTTCGATAGCATTATTATACGATTTGCTTTCTTAATCTGCCAATCGCCAACAAGGTGAAGAGTACACAAGTACTATAAACCATCGGGGGGCCTCAATTGATTTGCAAATAATTGGAAACTTTAATTCGACAGAAAATAATTAAAAACTGTCTGGCTTGCCACTCAAGTCTTGTCAATTCCCAGAAGCATCTTTTGAAAAGTGATCGCTGCGACCTGACGAAGCTCAAAGCTCTGCCGCTGCACGAAATTTAAACCGTGTACGCTTGAAGTGCAACGTGGAGTACCACCTTCGTATCTCCCTGCGGCGATCATTTGTGCAACTCGACCATTTCTACCGCAGAGGAGTGGAGTAAGGCCAAGCAAAACAAAAACTGCCGTGACTGAATAACGTTTTGCGCCACCGACTGGTAGAGAGCCCGGGGTTATAAAACATTTAGCACCGACCGTGAATTAAGCTTAATTATGACGTCCCAGTTGGGCCCTTTAGGGACGAACACTTCAACTCAACCAGTACAGAGACAATCGGGTAGTAAGAGAAAGCGATCACAAACTCGTGACTTGTCGCCTCCATTGACTCCTCTATCTCCATCCGCATCTCATTCAAAACGAAGTGAGACTTCAACATCCGCCTTCGAGCTGATCGAAGCCGAGGTAAGCATATAAGTACATTGTAAACCAAGTCAAGTAGTGAACCGATCACTGTCTGCACTTGTCACAATACACTTGATCCTCTAGCGAGTTTAAGTCGCTCGTTCAGCTAAGTGATCGACTCAACAACCTGACGTTTCGTCATATATGGCGGTAGGCTAAAATTCGCCAAGTCCTTGCATAACTTTGAAAATCATCGCTGCCAGTTTTGACGGTATCGATGTTGTGAGAGTGTGTCACACCGGTATACCACAGCGCATGCTACCTTTCGTGAGATAATAGGGTTATTAACTCCATATGCCTTTTCATTTGATAGGAACGAGTCCTTGGGCTCCATGGAGTAAGCACAGTCAGTGGATCGGGCGTCGTATCGTCGCCATCGTCCAATGTTACAAGTGCAGGTATAGTGTCGTGTGCCCCTCGTCTGTCTCATACTCCACCTCACGACTTCCGTGAGGTTCTCGCCTCATCGATGCAACCTCAAGCTCATCAATACTACGCTCCGCAGTATAATCCGTTACACTTTCAACAGCAGCAACCTCCAAGGTTCGACTTTTCGCACCCGCTAGAGCCGTTTCAAACAGCGCATTCACAGCAATACGGCAATGGACCAACAGGCTTTCACCCAACTACCGGGGCGCCTCATCAATCTATGGCCGGGCCTAATCATCCACAGCCTGTGTCGCAGCATCAAGCACGCCATCCTGTTCTCCGAACACGACCGTCCGATGTGGAAGCTTTGCAACAAGCGCACATAAATCATCAGTTTGCTGGAGCGGCCATGGAACACGCGAGGAGAAGAGAGGTGTATTCAGCCGTACGTAGGCCTGATATGTTCGATATGTTATCAACGACCAATATACCGGACGCGCAGGTAAATGACACAAATTTTGCTCTTTTCCTTAGTTGTCACACTGTGCTGTTCTTCTAAAATTGAAGCCAAAAAAATTCGAACTTTTCAGAGAGCTTCGGTTTCTTCTCCGCCATTTGCACGCGCTAGGGATGCGACGCAACGGCATCACAACGTGCGAGGGCAGAACGAAAGAACAAATAAAACTTTGGAGAAAATATCAGAGGAAGCCGCTTTTTTATCCTTTCAGGCACGAAGCAGTCGGTAATGCCAGTTACGGTTTTTGAGATAACCACGAGCATCCGTTGTGGGTCTTAAACATCTGTGATCATTGAAATTCAGGTGCTGACTGACACCCTCCTTATAGAGCGTGTGAGCAAACTAAATCTTAAGATACGCCAATCTTCAAGGTCACAAGTGACAATTTTGAGTTCTCCGGTCAATATTATCTTTAAAGCCTGTAGCGTTATACCTAGTGCTGTTTATAGCTAACACTCAAGCTAAATTTCCTTTCCATTCAACTGCCTTTCAAGTCCGCGGCAATATACCACCCTGCCTTTATTTGCCTTATCAAGTCTTCCTTCGGAGCAAAGCCGAAAATCGATCGCAAAGTCCTGTGGCGCGAAGTGGTTTGTTTTCAAGTTTTAACCGGCGCCGTTGATAACTAGGAAGTTTGCTCCCTACAATTTTGAACAATATGTGTGTTTTTGTGGAACAGTTGCCTACATCAATAACATGAAAATACGAGAAAAAGTCACGATAGCGCGACGTATGACAATGGATTCCTTAAGCCTTAAGACAAAAAGCACTTGAGTAGCGTGAGGTGTTGCGGTTTGAAACGGAAGACTTCTACTAATATCTCTTTTCTAGCTTTTTTAACAATGCTTTCTAGACTACTCTGTTGAAGTTAATGAATAACGGTTGTCCGGGCTATTTTATACGGGAAACAAAGAGTTCAAAATGCTAACTACTTTCTTAACAAAAACCGAACAAATCATTTGCAAGGGAAAGTGTCACTCCAGGTGAAAATTTATAGGCGTTGAGCTGAACACATAAAAATTACCATCGACACCTTCTTCGTGACTTCCTAGCGTTTTAGTGTTTGGGAAACGGGTTGCCTATTTATGAAGAATAGGTGTTTTAACAAAGCTTAAATCATTCCATTTTGAAGTTTTCAAACACCCCATGTGGAGCAGAAGACATAAATAAATTCGAAACATTCGTCTATCAATACTCTTATACCACAGTGAGATCTAAACATTATAAAAGGTGGACCGTAAAGACCATTCTTCGTGAGAAAAGAGAGTTTTTCAATTACAAAATCTTACAGTCGAAGAAAAAAGGTGATGACGAGTCGGTCGCAGTATATATACAAACACTTCTCATTTTCGCCTCATTGACCACAAGTCGCTGTTACTATCATGAAAAATTGGAAGCGAGAGGGTTGATGTCTGTTGGTAGAAAATTGAAGTTAAAATGCACCTCAACAATACATTGAATCCTTTCTACTGCATTTAATGACTTTTTTTTGGCATCTCGCAAGAAGCCGCTTGCCGAGGCGCCTAGATTTTTGAATAGGCAATATATCAATATATCGTGGTCTTCTGTGTTTAGACGTCTTCCTTTTTGAGCTCTCAGTAGGGAGCAATTATAAAACAACCACGGAGTGGCTCGCTCCGTCGAACATTCTATTCATTGTATCCGATAACACTGACGTTTTCCCCAAGTTGTATTTTCTGGAAAAACTCCTCTAGGAACTTTTCATAAAAAAATTCAGTCTCTTTGCTAGTGTTTACGATCGTATGGCTGTATTTAACGGTTTATCTTCACGGTTCTTTTCACGGCGGATCAGTGTTGACCCCAGAGCACTTTACAGCCTGTTGGTAAAGGTGTAAAACACTCCAGGTTTCCTAATCTCATTTGCTTAGTTTACTTTAAGATTTTAAAGTGATTTTCAAACACGCGACTTAGCCAAGGCGTTTATTGATCAACCCTTTGACAACAGGTCCGACTAAGAGTTTCTTCGCTTCGCGATAATTAGCCAACAGAAATTTCAACTGTCGGGCGTCAAGCCAACCCTCGCTAGCAAAAATTACAATGAAAGGGCGGAAGGCATTAAATAGATCTGCGGCTTTGAAATAAAAACGTAGCGATTAGCAAAACCATTTCGAACCCCACAACAACACATTTGTTCTTTGATTATTTAGTGAATTTTTTTGCATCTTTCTTCGACTACTTGTTCCATAGTGTATAGATTACACCTTCACAGCTTGGGTGCTTTCATTTCAAACGATCCCTTTGAAACAAAAGAATAGCCAACAGTATTAGAAAGAAAATTTCGTTGGCCGACTTTTAAACAAGGATGTGTTCTTTGTCTCTTAAAAAATGTCGAATAAAATGATTGCTACGCCATACAAAGACACCTAAATATTTATCTGGCATTCATTATTGTCTTATTTTCTTTGCGCTTACAGAATCATCGATCTGGATTAAACAATAAAAATGGAGAAACACCTAATCACCACAGTGTACGAGACGGTAAGTGAAGAACTTTATAATTTTTCGTTTGAATGACTCTGTTCTGGTTAAAAATATAGCTTAAAGGGACACAACATGCAAAGACTTTGTCTTCTAGTTTTCTTTAGTCACAGTTATTGTTTTGATCCAGAAAATAAAAGTTTAGATCCATGTTGCGTAATATAACATCAGCACTACAGGAAAGTACAACTCAACGATTTTCATTAGAAGCATGAGTTCACACTTCTAGTTTGTATCCATAAACGTCATTATCTTAAGAGGGGAATGTAATAAGGATTACGAGCAGTCCGCCAAAGACTGAATCCTCTGTAACTTCCCAATTTTTCAAATCAGCTCTTATCGTGTTTATGAAGACAAGAAAATATCTAATTTACTTTAGTCAGAGGGCAAAACCTTATCACCTTATTTTCTAATAAAATCGCCGAGAAAAGCTTTTACTGCAGGTGTGTAAAAGATCTTCATAGTCAGCAGACATTTAGCGTGGTTGTTCTAGAAATAGACATTTCCTTTTTCTGAACACCAGCTAAACTTTGAATAGTCAGTCAGTGATATTGGCAGTGAACAGCAATTCATTCACCCTACCCAATAAAAAAGTATAGTATGTCAGAGTTAAGCCGCTTTTCACATGTATAGTGAAAAAAAAAACGAATAATCTTACTCGATTTCAAATCATTAAAGCGTTCTGCGAGTTCTTATTTGATAAAAAAGAGAGGAAACGGAAAGATTTATCTCTTTGCGTCAGTACTTAGCGCGTTCGTCCTATTCTCGTAATTAAAGAAGGATTTAAAACCCAAACAAAGGCGAAGAGCTTAAACCTCTACTTCATGAATTTTTCCTTTAAAAGTGTAGAGGAACTAGGTTTCGTTTGTATGTGATTAAATTTGGGGTGATGTATCGGTGCAAAATGGCTTCACTAATCAATTTTTCTACCATGAGTACATCGTATGTACCTTGTCTGACAAAGAAGGATCTTGTAGAATTTTCAATTGAGCAAATGTGCATAAGTTATTTATCTTTTCCATCATTAGTGGAGAGACAATATTTTGCTTGAGTCATCAATCTGCCTTTGACAAGAAATGGAAAGAACTGAAATATATAACTGGCCATGTCACAAAACAATTTAAATAAAATTCAAATTGCAATAAAGAATAAGATTTGTGTGGTTTCCTCTTTGTTTTACTGTTCATTTGAAGCCGTGCATTATTGTGAGTACAATTCTTATCCAACAGTGTTCTTCCATTTCTTTTTCTTTTTTTTTTTTCGTTGTCTGTTAAGAAAAATATAGAAAAATAAAGGAATAGGAGCCATATATTGACCTGAAAAAATCGTGTTTGTTGAAGAGAACGTTTAATTTATTTCATATCACCTCAGGCTGGAAAACGTAACTGATTTTGAAAGTTTGCTTCGTTCTTTAAAGGCTTAATTGGCCCATTTTCATGTTACTGTTATTACGATAATTACTTCTTGCACTTATTTGTGTTCGTGGGTTGTGTTTCACTACACAGCAGTGAACTCTACCCCCCGAGCCTGCAGACCAGGACAACTGTTTGGGCAAACGAACATGTTCGGCTACGGGTTGCCGGCACATATTTAATTTCATGGCCTTTACCAGCTATGCAGGGTACTTGGATAGGGCAACTTAATAACTACTGGAAAATTACAGTTTGTTTAGGCTTGTTAGAAAATGCCTCTGGCTGACTCAAAATTGCAGCATACTACGAATGTCAAAGGAGGAAGTAGTATTTCATTAAATTCATATTTTCTTTCAACATTTTGTTAAAAGAATATCTGTTGTAAAATGACAAATATCATTCAGCCTGAATTTAAATATATCTCTGTACTTTTCCAGGAGACAAGTTCTATATTGGAAAGACTTAAGCAATATCTTATTTAGTCCCAATAATATGTGTTCCCACATTTACACATTAACATTGCTTATAGCTATTAACGATATTTGTTCCGCGTTAGTTTATGCTTATTTATTTACCTATTTTGCTCGACTGAAGTTCAATTTTCTGACACTAACTCTTTAAGCTGTCAACAGTTCTGCCGTTTTAATCAATTGAACGGTCTCGGAAAATTTTGTTCGGAAATAAAGTTCTTTCAGTAGGTTTGAATCAAGCTTTGGAAAATGGGGGAAATGATGCTGTCAGAAAGAGGATTACCTTGAACAAAAATGTCACTGATCAAAACCTGGCTGTTTTTCTGAAAATGAAGCGATTGTAGTTTATTTTCTAGTTTTCCGATGTTTCTGCGGGCAGGCGGACACAGTTTTTATACTGTTGTCGTTACTTTTCTTTGTATTATGATATTTATTTTTGATCATTGTTATTATCGTTCTAATGTTAATTTCTACTGACGACAAAAAACATCTGCTATAAAAGTTACGCAGAAAGCTTGAAAGGGCTGTTCTTAAGGTGCAAATTACTAAGAGCAGGTGAATGCTTTTCTTATGTTAATGTTTTATGAAAAAATGTAGTTTTACAGGAAATATGGGGAAGCCAGCAGAACGCAGTCATACATACATATACCGCTTGTTCTTCACATACAGTCAGTCAATAAGTGTCATCAACCGCAGTATATGGGGGCAGAATTGATATTGCAAACAAAAGATAAAAGTACACCAACTTTACGGCGTGTTTCCAGCGATTATTGCTGTCATGACAGCTTTTTGTTCTCGTGAAATCCTATACCATGCAATATTATGTTTATTTCTCTTTGAAATTCAAATATCCTTCTTGTTTTAAGGTGATAATTTTTGTTCTGTTATAAGAATTTGTTGACCGGACACGCGGTTTGATATGGTCTGAAAAACACAACTTCTAGTATCATATCAATGACACAGTTTTTAAGTGAATATATTTCCCAGCAGGGGTCAACATACACAGACATACGCTAAACCTCTGTAGACACCTACTCATAACGGATTGCTTAAAAATTGCTCTCACTTTGAAAAATGCGGAAGATAAACTTCGATAAGATATATTTTTAAGTCATCTACTGCAGAATAAGGATGCAAAGTAAGAAATTTGTTGTTCGGTGTACGACAGCAGCAAAATAAGAATACTTGCAGAACCGCATCGAGAATGAATCAAACTACTTATTTAAGGAACTGTTTACGCAAGACCGTGGCAAATGCTTCAGCAGAAACTAATTTATTTCGCAACTTTGTGACCAAAACATCAGACTCAGATAAAAAAGTTATAGTAGTTTGACAAATATCGAAGAAAATCTGCTTTCCATTTTAATTGTTGGCGACATAACTTTCTTCATTTGTGTTATATATATATATAGTGGATATCGGAATGGGTCACTTGAAAACTCTATGAACCATCAAACCATACATCGCTAAAAATACTCTAATAAAACATCTTAATCTTAGTGACGCCAACCTAACATTTATTAAGATTCTTTAAGATGTCGGCATCTTTTGTGCATTGGTAATTTTGTCGTTATAGTTGAGATCTATCATAGCAGTTTCATGTCTCTAATGGCCCGCTCATGAAAATGGGCGTTCAAAAATTGCAGTTTTCTTCCTTAACATCACGAAATAAAACAAACAGTTTATCTGTGTAAAACTTTAAAATACAGTGTCTATTTCAATTCCATATCAGAGAATCTTGCAAACCACACAGTTTGTGACCCCCCTGGTTGGACGTTGTCTTACAAATGCGAGTGAATATGTAGTTAAAACAGCTTGCTTGTTTTGATTTTCTTTATTTATGTTTATGTTTTGTGAAATTAATTGCAACAAGCGCATTTTGCCAGGGACGTAATAGGTGTCCCAGCCATTTAATCTATGTAGTGTTTGATGCTTGACTGAGTTCTGGTTTGTTTCAGGACCTTTGAGCCGGCCTACATTACTAAACCAGTATGATTCAACACGCGCCATTTGTTCTTCGCAATTCCACCAGAAACTTTTCCGGGGGCTAAATTGATAGAGTTTTTAATCCTCGCTTTAAACCATAGTAGTCTGTGCCTCGCAGCTATCATGACCATTTTTTGTCTCGAGAGTTCAGTTATAAGCGCTCTGTTATTAAAAAATTTCAGATAGTGTTCTTCAAGTTAAAGAGTTTTGAGGCTAAAATGTACATTTGCTGTCAGTTATCGGGTGTATAACTCAGAATGGTTCCCAAAATCCAAAAAATGAAATGAGTGACATGCCCTTGCCAAACAGAGGAGAGAAAGTTGGTTGACTTAATTCGCATGTTCCGGCGTTATTTGTCTGAGTAAGACTTGGCACGAGCTTACAAATCACTGCTACTTTAATACACAGAGAACGTCATTTATGCTCATTTTCAACCTCTATTGTAGAAAATTCGCTAAAATTTGATTCTCTGACTTGACTGTTTGTTAGAAACACATTTTGTGAACCAACTTGAGATAAATTCGCTCCTATAGATTGTATCTTTGAGCAACAGTTATTTGGTAGGAGAGGTCGAAAAAGTTTTTGTCAGTGATGTTAGTGAACGGGAAAGTTGACGATTAATTTGGTTCGCTTTGCAGAAAGTCCTTTAATTTAAAGATCCTTTTTTTCTTGAGAACAGCAGCCTTTTTGATTAAGAGAAAAGAAATAGTATAAATTAAAAATAGTAATCTTACTTCATTTCTCATAAGTGCAAAGTCTTTGAAAGAAATGAGAATACAATATTTAGTCATTCGAATGGGTCTGTTTATCTCTAAAAGAGTAATCCTTAAAGAGCTCTTTTTTCATATCCGCATCTTAGCTTTTTAGTGTCTGTCAAGGCCATGATAAATCTTGGCCTCAGTTCTGTACTTTGTCTCTGTTCTTGATCTGCCGGTTCCGAGGGACTTAGTGTCGTTTGGATGCCGAGATGCTTTAACATAACCGTAATTGCGTCGAGAACTTTATTAAAATCAGGACAAACTGTTTATAAGCATGTAAAGAGGCGTTGATGCTTAACCTTTAATATAAATGCCGCCAGCAAATTTTGGCAGATTTAAAAGCTGCAAATGGGCGGGCGATAACCCTAAGCCAAAAGCGTCTTAACTTATTAATTCCTCTTTAATAAAGGAAAAATTAATAATGCTGGCCTATATGGATTAGTATAAGACCAGGTCGCTCGCTTTAAGCGACTGAAGGTTTCAGCTGCATTTTCTCGCTATTTTATTTTGGTAAAAAGTTATTTCCGTGCATAAGGTTCAATGTCAGTCTTTATTTCTTAAGTACCTTGAAATGTTGTTCCGACAACAAGCTCACGTGGTACATGTTAATTCTTGCATCTTGCTGCTTTCTGTGTGGTTTTAAACTGAGCCTACATGTTTCTTGCGAACGTACAGAAAAACATGTCTGGACTTTAACGTAGTTCCCTCCACTTAATTAAAAATATAAACCAAGTTTTTGTTCGAAATACGCGATCGTTTTAACAGCCTTGGTTATATTTGTAGTTTCTTTAGTCGAAAAAAAGTAAAAATTCCTTTTGGGATCCAACTGTGGCATAAGAGATGACTTGGGTTACGTGCTGGTTCTGAAAAACTTCTCTTTTTAGTTAGATCTTGAGTTGTGCCGCATGAACTTCATATGTAGACGTTAATCTGTACTCACCCGGTAGAGGTTCCTCTTTGAAATTTTTCTAAAATCTGTCTAGTTCTCGTTAATTTGGCATCTTTATTTAAGCAATGCAGTTAATTTTAAAATAGCTTTGCGTGTTCTGTATAAAGTTTTATTTGTGAAGCCTTTGTATGGTGATGTGGGTCATATTTTGTGTTAAGTCACTTGATTATATATTCTGACCATCCTTTCGATGCTCCTCGGAGCGAATAAGTACCACAGTTCAGACGACTTATCAGTAGCATGCCGGAAACCGTTTTTGTAGCCCATGTCGTAGAAATACCTCTCAAGACAGACAAGATCCCGCAATTTTCTGCAAATGAAATCAACGGTAGCACCAATGCTGTTTTTACAAGCACAGGCTCGGTGTTTAAGTAAAAACGCCCTCAGTCACGAAGGGGCGAAAAAGCGAGTAAATACACACGGTTATTCCTCAAAAAAAAAAACCTGAACCGTGCAAAGAAAGCACATGAGAAATACAGCGCGGCAATAAAAAGAGCAGGTATCAGGCCGCACAATAAAAGTATCCTAAACAAACGTTATTAAAGTGGAGGCAATGGAGAACGATCCAAAGTTAGGTGCATGTTACCTACGTGTACGACCTAAACTGTGAACTTGATCTCGTTAAAACTGGTCAGTATTAAGTGGTGTGATTTACACAAGGAGTGGTTCATTTAAAAAGAAACCGTTCAACGAAAATAGATTGTATTCCGAACTTAGAAATGTTTGTTTCGTAATAGGTCACAAACAGAAGCACGTGGAGCGTGATTCTCGCGAAGAAGTCGACTCGGACGGTCCCGTTCACCCTTCAGATGTGTTCTGTTGTGTACCGGGCAGGCTGTCTCTTCTTAGTTCTACATCAAAGTACAAGGTCACAGTTGGCGAAATCCGCAGGCGACTCTCACACCCCGAGTGTCTGAATGCTTCGCTGCTGGGTGGAGTGCTTCGGAGGTATGTGCGTGATCAACGGCAATTTTTTTTAAAAAAAATCAAAATCGTCACATGACAAGCCTGCGACAGAGAAAAGGAATTGAATTGTTTTCTTTCTCTACCAGGGCCAAGTCTAAGAATGGGGGTAAAAGCTTGCGTGACAAGCTAGAGAAGATCGGTCTGTCACTTCCGGCGGGGAGAAGGAAGGCAGCACAAGTCACACTACTTACATCACTGGTAGAAGGTAAGTACTGAAACTGTTATTTCTGTTAGGGGGTATGGTAGCGGTGTATAGCAGGTATAAGCCGTGAATTTTGATGAAATAGATATAAGAGGTTATTCGCAGGGAGGTGGTATAGTTACAGCAAGAGACTCGTTGCATTCTTATTTTTAATCGCCATTTCCTCAGTAACTACTTTTAGAGTTATTTTAATAACCTTTATAGTCACCTGTAAGAAAGCTGTTGGATAATTTTCATTTAAATATTTAAATCTGGATAGAAAAGATTTTATTTATCCCTGTTCAAATTGCGAAGTACCTGGAAGTAAAGACTCCTGTTCTCTAAAAGTTGTTTTTTTCAAGTGAAATTTAGTCTGGAACTTTGCGACGACTCCGATAAAGTCAGTTCTAATATCTGTTTTGTTTGATCTTATTGTAGGCGAGGCCGCTCATTTAGCCGCGGATTTTGATTACGTATGTGAATCTGAATTTCCTGCTGCACAGCTGGCCGAGAGACAGTACAGACAACACGCAGAACCATCCCAGCAACAATCTAGGAAAAACGCCATACTCGCGGCCAAGTACGACATATTTCTTTCTTTAGTTAATTAGCAAGTAACTAAGGATTTGCACACTATACCGGCGCCACGGCATGAACAACAACGGCCCGTGGAGGCACAAGTGGTTCACACACATGGAACATTGCGCCGGCACAGTTGGCCGAGAGGGTTTGGAGCACTAAACTGTAGTCTTCACTCCTTAATATTTACTTCTGTCTCAGTGGGTTTTAGTCCTCGCTCCAACTTATTTACTTCGGCGACGGGCCGAATGGATCAGTGTTCACACTGTCCGAAAGTATGGCACAAAACCTATCCGATATGTGACGCTCCACTTTCGTGATCGGCCCGGCGTAGCTTCGCTCCGTCACAGAAATCGCTCCTCCCCAACTGTTCTTGTGCGTAAACGGAAGCCTTATCCGGCGGGTCTGATTTTCGAGGCGGCGCAAAAGTTGTGCAGTATAGTGTACAAATAGCCTAAGTCGCTGTATGATTCTCTAGTTAAAAGCTCTTGTGTAGGCTCTAGAGGAATGCAAAATGCCCGCTAACTCTGTTTCTGATCTATCTCCGCATTGCCGTTTTCCTCCTTTCATTTGCCTTCGTATTCCTTTTTCGGTCCCCGGTCTTCTCTCTATTTGAAAATTTGGGGAATTGATTGCTATGTCACACTACACCGTACGATGTTGAAATAAACATTAAGTTCTCTCAATGTTTGGTATTCATGTATATCCTTTCTTTCAGACAATTGACAAAAGAACTTCAAGACGTTCTTGCACAAGACCCCTACCCTAAGACCAGGCTACCCAACAGTAATCTACCGGACTCCATCTTACGAAGCCTTAATCAGTTTGGACTCGTGACTCACGGTTTTGGGTCGCCGGCTATTAATGCCGCCATGAATGCTTTCCAAGCATACTTAGGTGAACTGCTTAAATTACATGAAGGAAACGTCCCATCGAGTGGAAACACTGGAGGTAGAAATCAAAATATTGTTAAAAATGGCGAGGCCTGATTGGATGTTATATATTATCAACAGTTACTGTACATTTAGAGAAGAAATTAAATTTGTACCCATAGATAGTGTATTACATTGCAGAACGACTGGCGTACGAAGCCACTGTCCCCGGACTTTAAACATGTATAGAATATATTATAATCATAAACGACAGAGAGAAAAATGTGCTACTTTCTCTATTCAGTAATAGACTGGACAGAGGAGTGACCGGGTGGGTCCGTAAATCCCCCCCGGAGGGGAAACTCCCATGTGGCAGGAGGATACTCGTCGGGAAATTGGAATCAGACCCCGAAAAGATAACATTGTGGTAGTGCCTAAAACTTATTGTTTCTCCTAAAAGATAGTAATCGAAAAGAGAGAGCCAAATAGAGCGATAGCAATCTTAATTGCGGTAAAAAAGTTTTTGATTTTTTCTTTTTCTTTCTTTATTTCCTGACGCACAGCCGTAAGTAAAACCCATGTGGGTAAAACCATTGGCGTTTTGAACACTCTAAGTGAAACTAAAATAAGCAATTTGCACTCCCAAACAAGACCACGGGCATCCTCGCCCTTTCTAAGGGGAATCCCCCAGGAATTAAATCTCAGAAAACAATATATTTGTGGCTATTTGTAATAAATCAGTTCAACTCTTAGCTATTCTTAAACATTCAGTCAACTGAGGCTGCCTCCATTCGACTCTGTGCACTGTACGCTGGTAAATTGGTATGAATTTAAACGTTCCCTTAACAACTTATCCATTCTAAGAATGGCTTGTTCCATGCTTTCAAGACAAAAAAAACTGAGAAAGCTAGACTTTGAAGAAAAGAGAAAGGAGGAAGAGAAGGCGGGCGGGACTGTGGGCTCTTCGGATCCCAGGGCGTTCGCTCTTCTTTTCGCTCGTCCTAACGAACTGAGGGCTTGGAGCAGTCCACTTAAAAGACTGAAAAATATCCGTTAGTGTGGACCTGAATCGTAAGTTTGTATGCGTTCACACATGGCCTACGAGCAAGCTCCGCATTTTGGGGAGTCGCGAGAAGTCACTCGTGAGCTGCACCGAAAGGATACGTTTCACCACTCGCTCGCGCGTTTTCTGGCGACTCGCTTCCCTCGCCGGACACGGAGAGCTTGCTCGCAGTTAGTTATTTTTCATCCAGCTTTTAGAGCAGTGCAGAATTCATCCACAGGGAACAGTTTTTAACGTTTGGTCAATTTCCAGGTACAAGCTGGCCTCATCCAAACCCTCGGCGACCTTTTAGGAGTGTAGTGATCCAAGAAATTATCTTTTTGTTATGTTTTAAAATTCCAGTTGCTATCAATATTTTGCTGTTGCGTTGTAAAATATTTATTTAACATTCTTGTGATATATGTATCAAAATGGTTTCTTTGCACATTGAGAATAATCCTTTGCTATGATCCCACACTCAGGCCCTATGACATTTTGTTTGCTCGCGTGATCCTAGGTTGCATTTGGGCTTGAGGCTATTCCTTTCTCAGGTTTAGGAATTATCATAAATTTTGTGTTAAAACACTCTCGATTGAGAGTTTAAAGTTTAGCCTTTTAAGTCCTGAGGGTGATCAACATCAATTTTCTCCTAACAAAATCAGTACATAGTAAAGATAAAAAGTTATGAGAATCAATGGGATGATCACCGAAGGGAAAGTGTTTTGATTTTTTTAACAAATTCCCTCAACTAACTCTTTAAGAAAATGTGTGGAGATCAGTCTGGGGGAATTTGTATGTCTGGAGAATTTGTGTATTGGGACTTCAAGGGTTAACAAACGGTTTGATTTCTTCTTCTGAATCAACGCCTCATGCACCGAACTTCTGCTTAAAAAGAGAGAGAACTGATTTGCACAAAACGCGATTTTCTATTTAAGAGTTATTTAAAAGATTCTTTGCGATGTATTGCACCTCAAGCGAACTAGCTATATGAACCTTCTCTTACAAGAAAGCGAATAATTGGTTTTGGTCGTGGGATGGGAAAACGTCTTGCATCGAAGCTCCTTTGCCAATTCACTGATAAATGATAAGGCTTTTAAGCAAAAAAAAATAGTAAATATAAAAGTTTAAAATAACAAATCCTTAAAATCACTTTTGTGCAAATTGGAATTTCTTTATAAGAGAAGCCGTTGGACGTACTCTCAGTTTTTTATTTGGGTCTTTGGGTAGCGATGGTCTTAATGCTTCTAAGCTAAAAATGTGTTCGCAAAAAGTATTACAAATTAGAATTCAGAAATAATAAGTAAATAAAGAAATTATACTTCAGTGGATCACTTGTGATCAAAATACATGCGTTGTTCAGGTTATTTTCTTAAAGCTATATCTTTGGCTAACCTGTGAGCAGAGGTTACTGACCACCATTTTCGGGGAGTGAACCGCTCTTAGGGTAATCTTTGATTTGCTTCTCAACAGGACCCAACATCCCAATTTCTCCGTATACAATTCTACAATAATTTCAAACAGTCAGAATAAAGACAAACATAAACCAGAAGATATTGTTTTTTTTTTTTTTAATTAGCGTTTTGCCACTACTAGCTGTACAGCAAGGAGAGGCTCTTAGCGTGGCCGAGTCACGAGTTGTTTAACTCGTTAGATTTGCAATCCGGAAGTCCCGGGGTTCAAGTCCCACCCTAAACGTTACCTTGCGGTTTAGTTTGAAAAAGAAGACTTCTTTTAACAGTCCAACCTTCACGTGCGACCACCTCTCGTAAGCGACCACCTTTCCAAAACACCAAAACTTTTCGGATGACGGTTTTATTTTCATTTGTTTTTTATCC